AGAAGGTGCGGACAAAGATTCTGGAGGAGGACTTCCGTCGCCGCCAACTGAGGGGTGGAGACAACGGCAGCAGCGGCTATGGGATGCAAGGAAGCCGACGTGGCAGAGGACGTGGCTTCGGTGGTGCTGGACGCGGTGCAAAGAAAGACGACGACTCCAACGACCAACAAGGAGGTACCGGTTGGGGTCGCGGTGCGAAATCTGGACGTGGGGGCAAGTCGGGTGCTGGTGGCAAAATAAAAGGGAGTTGCTGGTATTGTGAGAAGGAAGGGCACCCCTGGTTTTTGTGCTATAAGAAACCCGATGGATGGACCCCCCAGAATCGTCACCAGGATGGCGGCGCGCGGAGGAACCAGAAAAACGGCGCGAGCATGGTCACCGATTCGTCCAACAACGGCGGTGCGGAAAAGAAGAAGGAGCGCACTGCGGGCCAATTCTTCCATATGGGAGACAAGGGGGAGCAAGGAGACGCCTCTGCCAAGGTTGGAGCAGAGCTGCACCCCCTGGATTATTGGGTGTTGGACACGGGCGCTGCTTGGATGATGACGCCACGCAAGGACCTGCTGGACCACGTACGCGCTGCACCGATCAACGAGGTGTGCTCCGCCTTTGGACACGCGCTGAAGGTGGCTGGTGCGGGACGAGCTGCGTTTAAGGGGGCGGATGGCAAGCCGGTGGTGCTGGACGACGTTCTTCTCGTTCCTGAACTCAAGGCCAACCTCATCTCCCTCCGTAAGCTTGGCAAGGCTGGGGTGAGCACTAGCACGGATGGGGCACGCACTTACAAGGGGCAGCTGGGCAATCGGGTGCTTTGGGATCTGCACGGGAGTACGGACGTGTACAGATCCATGTGGCAGCTGCCGGCGTTGGCGTGGCATGGTGGGGGGCAGGCTGGAGAGGGGTCTGCATCCCAGGGGGAGTGCAATGCTGTTGGAGGGGTTGGTGTGAAAGTGTCGGCCAGATCTGGGGAGACGGATTGGGCAACGACACACCGACGCTTGGGGCATGTGGCAATGCCCTTGTTGAAGCAGTTGGAGAAAGATGGAGCCGTTAAGGGTCTAAAGCTGAACGGACAGCCACCTGATGAGAATTGTGAAATCTGTTTGCTCTCAGAGTTTACCCAATTCCCCTTCCTTAGTGTGGCTGGCAGGAGCAAGAAGCCGTTGGAGCTGGTCCACATGGACTTGGTGGGGCCGCTGCTAGTTCAGGGATACAAGGGGGAGCGGTACTTTCTGACCATAGTGGATGATTGGAGCAGGCTTATGTGGGCATATCCGCTGAAGCAAAAGGACCATGCCGCCTCTACGATACGGGAAGATTGGCTGCCATTCGTGGAGAAGCAAGCGGAGTGTGTGGTGAAGCGGATTAGGACAGATCGGGGTGGTGAGTTCCTTGGAGCTGAGATGACGGCCTGGCTCGAGAAGCAGGGCATCCAAAGGGAGCTGACCACGGCTTACACCCCACGGTCTAACGGTGTAGCAGAACGGGTGAACCGGACAATTCTGGAGACAGCTAGGTCGCTGCTCATAGAATCTGGGCTGGGCAACTTGATGTGGCCCCATGCTGTTCGGCACGCTACCGTCGCTAGGAACATGGTACTCACAAAGGTTGGGGATGACTCGTGGGTGCCGTTGGAGAGGTGGCTTGGGAGGAAGCCGCCGGTGGACATGCTGAGGGTGTTCGGTTGCATGGCAGTCGCCCACGTCCCCAAGACCTACCGCAGTAAGTTGGGGGCGAGTGCAATCTGGTGTGTGCATTTGGGGCTGGTTGCTGAGAGCAAGGGATGGCTGCTGTGGGAACCTTCCAAGGGTGTGTTGTTTGACGGCAGGGATGTGAAGTTTGTTGAGGGCATGATGTATGGGAGCTGGGAGAAACAGCCGGAGGCCATGGTGTCCCAGCAAATGGAGCAGATCACCATGCAGCTGGACCTGACTCCTAGTGTGTGGGAGGAGGGAGAGGAGGCAGCTGCAGAGGGTGGTGATGGAAAGAAGGTACAGGAGGCACCTGCTGGTGGAGAATATAATGTGGAGACTGGCACTAGTGGAGCTGCTGGATGTGAGGGAGAGAGCAGCAGCAGGGGAAAACTAAGAAGCCGAAGGGTGTCGTTATGAAGGGATGGGAGACACCCGTCTCCAGGCCAGGACGTACCCGTATGGCTACTAAGAAGCTGACTGCAGGATCTGATGTAGCGGAGCAGCAGCTTGGGACCGAGGAGGCATTGCTGATTCTACCGCATGGCTATGATCTGGATAAGGAGGATGAACCTGCCTACTGCACCAGAGGAACCAGCTAGCATGGAGGAGGCATTAGCTGGACCAGATAGGGAGAAGTGGCTGGTTTCCAGGGATGCTGAGTACCAGAGCCTGCTAGAGAATGTGACATGGGAGCTGGTGGTGCTGCCTAAGGGGAACAAAGCCGTACAGTGCAAGTGGGTGCTAAGGATCAAGATCGATGACAAGGGACAGGTCACCATCTACAAGAGTAGGCTGGTGGCTAAGTGGTTTATGCAGAAGGAGAAGCGGGACTTCAATGAGATCTTTGCTCCCATTGCCAAACCCCCTACCCTTCGTGTCTTGTTGGCAGATGCAACCCTTAGTGGGAAATTCATCATTCAGATGGATATATCAACGGCATTCCACAATGGGGTTTTAGAGGAGGATGTATACATGACGCAGCCGCCTGGGTATGAGGCAGGGTGTGCAAGCTGAAAAGGTCCATCTACGGCTTGAAGCAGGCGCCACGCTGCTGGTACCAGAAGTTGGCAGCTGTTTTAGAGGAGATGGGATTCACGACCAGCAGCTGTGATGAGAGCCTCTTTCTCAAGGGGGAGGGGGAGAAGCTGGTGCTGTTTGTGGTCTATGTGGACGATATTCTTCTCTTTAGCAGCAGCATGAAGGAGATCCAGAAGGTGCAGCAGCAGCTGATGGAGAACTTCAAGTGCAAGAACCTTGGGGAGGTAAAGTACTATCTCGGGATGCATGTGGAGAGGGATCTGGATCACAGGTGGTTGAAGCTGCACCAGGAGAAGTTCATCAAGGAGCTGGGGGAGAAGTACGGGATTGAGAATGAGCGCAAAGTTGCAACTCCCCTGCCAGCAGAATTCAAGCTTTTGAAAGCTGCAGAGGATGAAGGGGTTGAAGCCGAGGAGCAGCAATTTCAGTCCTCGGTGGGCAGCCTCTTGTATGCTGCTGTTCACACAAGGCCTGACATCTCTTTCTCGGTTGGGCAGCTGGCTAGGGTGGTGCAGAATCCATCAGAGGAGCAGGTGGATGCAGCTGAGCGTGTGGTGAAGTAACTGAACTCTCACCGAAGCATTGGAGTTCAATACTCCGCATCTGTACAAGTGAAGCAGAAAGAGGTTGAAGTGCTGAAAGAGAGGGGGGAGAGGCTTGGAGAAGGCAAGCTCTTTCTCACTTGCTTTATCGATGCTACGTGGGTCTCTGAGAAGGAGGATTCCTCATCTGTGGGAGGATACATCTGTATAGTTGGGGGAGGACCTGTTAGTCGGAGGTCAAAGAAGCAGACGGAGACGGCACTCTCTTCTGTGGAATCAGAGTACATGGCGATGTTCCATGGGGTGAAGGAGGTGATTTGGCTGAGGAGGCTGTTAGAGGAGATTGGCAAGGAGCAGAAGGTTGCTACGCCGCTGTTCTGTGATAGCAAGGGGGCTCTTGGGATGGCCAAGAATGCTGTGCTTCATGGGCTCAATAAGCACATGCGTATCAAAAGGCACTGGCTGCGTAAGGAGGTGAAGAGGGGGACGGTGAATCCGATCTACATCAAGACTCACCAGCAGCCAGCAGACTTCCTCACCAAGAGGCATGCGGATGAGCCTCATTGGCGTTGTGTGCGCATGAGTGGAATGAGCATGAACAAGCATGGAATGATGGGGATGCAGCCGGCATGCTCAGGGGGAGTATGTTGGATGCAAATTCACATTGCACGACATCCTGCCGTCTGTTTGTATGAGTATGCGTGTGCGAACGCATTTGGGTGTGAATGGAATGTTCGTGTATTTGTTTGCTTTCGCTATTTTCAGTTGATGCATTTGCAGGTACTCGCGTATTGTGCGCTTCGGCACAACATTGTACGCGCTATGAACAGTTCAAGCAGAAAGGACGAGCTTGCAAAGGAACCCTAGATGGAAGCTTTGCGGTTCAACTTACTTGATTGCGCAGATTAAGTTCTATCCAGCTCGAAATTGTACTGTTTTGTTTGGTTGACTATAGTGTAGCAGGGCAGGCACTATAGAGGTACAATTTAGGTGAAGGTTGGATGTTGTTTGTCTGTATCTGCATGCTACAGGGCCAGGGGAAACCAGCGGAACTAGCATTTGGCTGGTTAGGCAAGCCAAAACAGGTTCTGCTTTTAGGACCTGAACCTGGTTGTTGTTTTCCCAGGTTGGAAAAACAGAACCAGAGGTTGTTTACCAACCTACCACCTGCTGTTTTGTCCAGCCAGGTTGGTTCTGCTGCTTGGAATTATTTGGGATCATCCCTGGTTGTTCCCAGGTTGATTCCCAAGGTCCTTGCTAGCTAGAGCTATTTATTCCTTCTCTTTTTGTAGCTGAATATAGTGAAATTGTTTCAAGCGAATCCCTTCCTTGCTGGAATTTCGTTTCTACGCGGTGCGACGGCGGAATGCTACCCGAGTCAACGCTAGTACGCTAGCACTCCAACTCTAGGCAAACGCTGTCCGAGCCATAACTTCGTAATGGCAGAACTTTTCGCGAGGCAACTTGGCTTATTTTAAAGCTCTTGGAGTGAGCTTCGATATAGGAAATTCTCAGCTTAATCCGGTCGACGGTCTGCACGATACGCTGCGCGACGTTCAAGGTACTCTTGTTATTTTGACCAAGTCATTCTTGATCCCTCTCTCTACAAACTCGGACCCGAGGATAGGGGCTGGTCTTGTACCAGGCACCCAAGGACCCTTGGAGGTGACCTTGAGGAGAGGTTTTAAGTTTGATAAAGTCTTAATAGCTTGAGTTTGTTAGGCCCTTACACCAACACTACTGTGGCTGGTTCTCCAGGCAAGGGTGTGAAGAAACAGAATGCCATCTCCTCATCCTCTCCCTCATCCGCCTGAACCGCCATGGCACCTTGCTTGGGTCCTCCCAAACGGCTATACTTCAGCCTTGAGGGTGCTGCTGCTACTCTCTTCTCGCCGGTTGCAATCTGCTGCCCATGTGGTGAAGCTCCTCTCTGCACACTCCTCTTGGTAACCTTGGCGTTCGCAGCAGGCTCGAGCTGAGATGGTAAGTCCACACGTGCCGACTCATCCTCCAACCCCTCCTCCGCAGCAGGACCAGCACCTTGCTGCTCACCACCGCCACTGTGGTCACTGGTCAGCTCTGACCCAGGGAGATCCTCAAGGTGCAGCTGAACCTCCTCTACTGCAGACCGCTCAATTTCCTGCAGACGCAAGCTAATCTGCACCTGCTTCTGCTTGCCAGTCCTTGTACATGACGTCCTCCACAAACTTGACGTCACGGCTGACCAGCATCCTCTTGCTCTTGGGGTCCCACATCAGCCACCCCTTGGAGTCAGGAGCCATCCCAAGATGGACAGCCCACATAGCAGCAACTTCCAGCTTGTGCCTCTGCTCCTTAGGCGCCATCACAAGCCCCATGCAGCCCCACACCCGCAGCATATCAATGGAAGGCTTCTTCCCAAGCCAACGCTCGTACGACACCCAGTGGTTGTCGCCAACATGCGTCAAGACCCTGTTCTTGACCGTGATCATATGGCGAACAGCTTCAGGCCAGAACTTGTAGGGCATCCCAGGAGCCCCCAACAAGGTCTTAGCCGCCTCGCCAATGATCACATTGGCACGCTTAGCAATGTTGTTCTGCTGCGGTGTTCCTGGGCAGGTCATCTAGTGTTGGATGCCGTTCCTCTTGAGAAACTTGGTGAATTCCGCTCCAAGGAGCTCCCCACCACGGTCGCTCCTCAACACCTTCACCAACCGCATCGCTTGCCGCTCCACCATCGGCAACCAATCCTCCTTGATTGCCGCAGCAGCATCGCTCTTCTTGGACAAGGGACGTGCCCACGTGAAACAGCTCCATTCGTCCACCATGGTGAGGAAGTACAGCACTCCCCCATTCCCCTCAGTCCACATAGGACCCACTAGGTCCATGTGCACCACCTCCAATGGCACCTTTACCGATCCCTCCACACGTGGAAACGGGAACCGCGCAAACTTGTTCTGCATGCATGCCTCGCAGCTGCCATAGTGAGCGCCATCTCCTTGCAGTTGCAGCCCATGCACGCACTTCTCCTTATGCATCACCTCTAGTGTTGAAACAGCCACATGTGCAAGCCGCCGATGCCAAGTCTCCCAATCCGCTTGGCCCGAGGTAGCCGACGCCTTCACCGCCGCGCTTCCTCCAATCAGCTCCTCTCCTTGCACACCTTGCTGCTCCTCCTCGGTGACGCTCTCCTCCATAGATGCCGCTATTGCCGCCTTGCCCGATTTCTGCCAAGGGAGGACCGGGATCTGCCACATCTCCCTTCCACTGCAGGTCCCAAATCAGCCGCTCGTCGTTGTATGCACGATAGCGCTCCGAGCCAATCGTCGCGGTGTCCACACCCGCATCTCCCAACCGGCTTGTAGAAATCAGGTTCGCGCACAAGTCCGACACCCACAGCACATTCTTCAGCCCTACAAGCTCTCCATCCGCTCCCATGAACTTGGCGCATCCCATGCCCATGACCTTGGCCTTAGCGCCCGTTGCGGATGTGACTGTGGAGATGGGTGCGGGCTGAATCTCATCGAGTAGGTCCGCACGAGGAATCATGTGCCAGGAGCTTCCCGAGTCAATCACCCAATGGGTGAGGGGGTGTAGGAGAACCTTGGCAGCCATAGCGAGGCCGGTTGCGCCTTCGTTCACAAAGAAGAAGAACCCAGCCTTCAGCTCCTCAGATTTGCCGCCTTTCTTCTCATCCTTCTCCTCTCCACTAGCTCTCATAACTCCCCCACTCCTCGTGCCACCACGCTGGTTGCTTGATGAAGGCGGGGTCTAATTCTTGGGTCGTTGGTAGCACTTCCGCCAACGATGTCCGCGCTTCTTGCAGTAGAAGCACACCTCCCCTTGACCCCCGCCGCCATCCTCCTTAGGGTTGTTATTGTTTTTGCCCTTCCACTTCTTCTTGAAGCCACTCTTTCCACCTCCAACTCCATAGCCAGCCCCCTCCTCCGAGCGCTCCACACTCCGCTGCCGCAAGGCCTCCTCTAAGATGTGCGCGCGAATGTAATCCACGCTCCATTGGGGTTGTTGGGAGTTGAGGTTGATCGCTAGGGCAGACCATGACTCCGGCAGCCGTATCAGGATCTCCACTCATTGCAGGAGCTCCGGGTACACCACACCGCCGTCTTGGAGCTTCGTGAAGATATCCCGCATCTCATCCAGCACCGGTTGCATCGGCTCTCCATCAACGAACTTGATGTCGCGCAGCTGCCGCGCGAGTAGCACGATGCCGGTAGCATGTGTCGGTGAGTGCACATCCAGAAGCTTCCTCCAAGCCTTGGGGCCACACTCTGGATCACCCAAGAGGTCCTTGATGTGGTCAAGTTGTCATCCGCCAACCGCTTGCACCGTGAGCATGTACGCGTCGAACGATCACTTCACCCACGCTCCTTTCAGCTCCGCGGCCTCCGACATCTTCTCCTTCCCCTCCACCAGATCCAATAGCTTGTATTGGGTGTACATCAGCCTCATGCGGAAGCACCAGTGCTCGTAGTCCTCCCCCATGAATTTCTTAATAGAGAAAGCCTTCACTGGATCCACGGTTGTAGGAGATGGTGTAGAAGTTGAGGGTAGCGTAGGGTTGGCTGGTTGGTGAGTCCCCACTCCTCCACCAGCAACTCCCCCTTGCTCTCCAGCCTCTCTACTTCTATCCATCTCGCCACTAGCACCTCCGGAGTTCGTACCAACCATATTGAGGCCTTATGAATGGTGGAAACTTGAGAAATCGTTTGGAGAGAATTCTGCCAGAAATTTTGATTCTACAAAAATAGTTGTCCCGAACTATATACTTCGAACTAGAACGCGGTTTGACCACTAATCAAAAGTCCGCAAGCAGAGCTATTAGAAAATGGTCTCACTCATCAACATTGGTTGAGAATTCAGGACGATTCGTCGTCTCAAAGTTGACTACCCGCTCTGATACCACTTGTTCAGGATCCGTCACTTTGAGAGCTTACAGCGAACTCATTTCTCAATCAAACGCAAATCCGCTCGATAGAATTGTGCGCCTTAGGCTTAGCTACCATCTCCAAGTTTAATCAGTTGTTAAAATGGTTTATAGAGTGAGAACCATGTAAAAACGTCCAGCAGCTGCATGACTAGAATGGTTGAGGAAGTACAAGCATTAGAGCATAGGAAGTTGGAGTTGGGGACTCCAAGAGAACTATGAGAGGGAAGGGGTTCTCCAAGAGCTAGGGAAGGATGGTAGGAACCTTCCCAGCAGCAAGGATGCAACCCTAATCATGAGGTCCTTGAGGTGTCACATGCAAAATCCAATCTAGTTGGATTTTGCCTAGGTGTTGCAACATTTGCAACCCATGCTAGAAACTTCTAGCCACCCCAAACCAAAAGTCAAAGTTGCCTTCCCTAACCACCCAACCAAATATCCCTTTATATTCATGTCCCAAGTAATCACCCAAATTAGATATAACCCCAAAAGGTAGTAAGAAATCGAAATCTTGTAACTTGGGCGATCTTGGTCGGAATAAGGTGATCTTGGTATCGTTGGAAAGCTCTGGATTTCTCCTGCATGATCAAGCATTTAAACTTGGAGAAAAACACAGAGATGAAAATATCCAACAGCCATACAAAATGGCATATGCTCATGCAAACAATGCACGCATGAATAGCACGAGCACTCGTCAGGACGTTAGGATGACATGCATTTAGAATGACGTGCATCCAACACTCCCCGCAACCACGACTCTAGGACATCAGGCACGTCGGCCTTCCGTCGCAAGAGAAATATCGCAGTGTAGCGAGAGAAGTCGTCCACCACTCTTAATGGGGGCCAAGGACTGGGGAGGGACCCTAGACGTCCATGTGCAGAGTCTGAAAGAGAGCCGTGATGAGGGGGAACGAGGAGGAGTGAGGGGCATGACCGAGGAGTGCATTGTGGTGCAGGCGAGCAGCGAAACGGGGCAAGAGACGCGGGGAGATCTGTGACCAGACAATGACGTACCATCCTATTGAGACGCTGGAAGGACGAGTGACCTAGATGGTGGTGCCAGAGGACCGACGGGTGGGTGAGTGACCGACAGTCGCGCGACACAGCAGCTACCATACCTGACTTGACCCAGTGTGGTGGGACCCTATTTGTAACGAGTATAGATCTGAGCCTGGCTCCGTGTGAAAAGTGGCCAGAGGCGCCCCTAATTAAGGGGTAAATAAAAAGACAAGGGGCAAACAAAGGGAAGGGCAAGGGGAAACGGAAGGAAGGACACGGGGAAAAGAGAGGGAGGGGGAGGGGGGGAAATGGATGGAACTTCAGTGGAGGAAGGGAGGAGGGACAAGGGGGGAACCGGTCTTCAGGACAAGGGGGAAAGAAGGGAAAAACATGGGCGAAAACATAGGGAAACAAGGGGAAAGGGAGGGAGGGATAGGGGGGGAGCCGGGGGAAAGACAAGGGGGGAACATGGGTGATGGGAGGAGGAGGAGGATGGAATGACAAAACGGGATGCAATGCATGGGGGGGAATGCAATCGGAAGCGGAGGGTAAGGCGAAGAGAGAAATGAGGGAAGTACAAGAGAGAAAAGAAGGGAAGGGCAAGGGCGAAACGAAGGGGAGGGCACGGGGGACACGGTGAGAAAGGCAAGAGGATAAATTGAGAGATATGGCATGGGGGAAATCGAAGGAATCAAAACGGGATTGTGGGGGTGAGGAAGAAGGAGCGAGTAGGGAGGGGGTAGCAGCCGGCGGAAAATGGGGAAGCAGCGCATAGGGAACTGGGAGCTGCGGGGCTGGGAGTGGGGAAACGGCGCGTAGGGAAGGGGGAGCAGGGGAAAGTGGGGAAACAGCACATAAGGAAAGGGGAGTTGTGTGGGGAGAAGTAGGGAAAGCCGCTCGTCCGGAAGGGGAAAAGGAGCGCACATGGAAGGGGAAAAGCTGCGCGTAGAAAAAATGGAAGAGAAAGGGCGGAGGGAAGCATAAAAGCAGATTGTAGGGAAGTGGAGACACCGCATAGAGACGGAGGGTAAAACAGCAAAACGGCAAGGGGAGAGGCGAGGAGGGAATGGAAAGGCGGGACAGGATAGTCTAGTAGGAGGGAATGACGGGGTGCAACGAGACGGGCAAGAGTGAGGAGAGAGACAACGTCGATAGCTACAAGAGCAACAAGAGCTACAAGAATGACGAGAGCGACAAGAGGGGCGAGAGCGACGAGAGACATGGGTGGGATGGGAGCGACAAAAGGGATGGGAGCGATGGACAGAATTGATAGGAGCGGCGGTAACGAGGGCGATGCGAGCGTAGGTGTATCATGAGATACGCGTACGACGGAAGGCCAGGAAGCAACTCACAGTTGGTTTGCGATGAATTTGTGAATGACACAGACGCATGCGGAATCGTGCGAGAAAAAACAATTAATCGTGCCGGTGATGAGTACGATCATTATAACCTAATGACGTCAGTATAAAAACAGACTATGGAGGCTACTACGCATCGAATCTATGACGGTATCTGAAATTTCAGGCTTAAAAAAAAAGGAACAGTACACCCCGTTATTGTCTATCTTGGCGATTGGCGCCACTATTTTGGTAGCAGCGCGTTCAGCCAATCAATTTCTCCTCCGTGGGTCGCGAGAGAGTAGTACTCCAAAATGAGTTAACTAGTTCTTGGCAAATTTCACTTCAAGAATCTTGAACTTGAAGCATGCCATTTTAGACTTGAATTTTGAACTTGAAGGATACCACACACTTCGAGCACAAGCAAGCGGCCACAAGGCCAGTTCACATGCAGAGTTATAATTGCAAAGTAGTACACAGATTACAACCTAGCAAGAGTAACCATGCAAGTACAAGCATATATATCACTGTACAATAAGTACAAGGCAAGATCAAGAAACAAGCAGGTGAGGCAGAGTGGGCAGGTGCCCAAGAGCGGTGCAGAAACGCTAATGATCACCAGACCCAAGGGCCTTGGTGAAGACATCAGCAGTGTTGGCTCGAGAGGCCACGTAGGAAAAATGAAGCTGTCCACGCTGCTGCAGCTCTCGAGCAAGAAACTAGCAAAGAGCAATGTGCTTCGTTCTGCGCTCCAGTCTCTGCTCGTGACACAAGGCAAGCATGGCCTTGTTGTCGACGTACAGAACTGGAGGAGAACGAGGCTGCTCCCTCAAGTCGGTCAGCAGGTAGGTCAGCCAGCGTAGCTCCTGTGCAGCCATAGCCCCAGCGTAGGTCTCGGCCTCACAGCTGGAACTAAGCACAAAAGACGAACGAGTGAACCTCCACGAGACAAAACCAGAGCCAAGACTAAAGGCACAACCCTGCGACGACCGCTGAGTCGCTTGGTCGTCACCCCAAAAAGTGTCTGAGTGACCTGTAAGTACCACTGAATCACGTCCTCCAAGCACAAGCCTCATGCCCGATGTACTGCACAAGTAACAAAGTACCCTTTTAGCAGCTTCCTACTGCACCTTTCGATGTCTACCGGAGCCACATAGCGAGCTAGGAGGCTAAGAGGGTACGCAAGGTCAGGTCGTGTGCACGTCATCAGGTACATGAGGCAACCCACAAGCTCTAGATACGGACCAGTTGGCTCTACGGACTCGTCTGAAGGTGGAGCTGGGAGCGAGTGGCCCATAGGCAGAGGTGTGGGCTATGGCGAGGAGAACTGGAAGCCGAAGCGCTGAAGGATCTGCCGCACTATGTGTGACTGAGCCAACATGATGGTACGCCTTGCTCTGTCCCGAGTGATCTACAAGCCAAGATAGCTGCGCAGCTCACCCAAGTCAGTGCAAGTGTGTCTCTTCTGCAGCTCCAACTTTACAAGGGTCAGCGACTCAGTGTCGGTAGTAGCAAAGACCAAGTCGTCGACATACACGAGGATGTAGAATGGCGGCAGAGAAGGGTCAGTGCACAGAAAAAACAACGGGTCAGCAGTCGAAGGAGCGAACCCAAGAGCTGCCAGCATCGTCCTCACTATGTTGTGCCACCCGCGGGGCACATAGCAAAGACCGTAGACCGGCCACCGAAGGCTCCATTGGGTACCCTCAGGAAACGACCCAGTGAAGCTAGGTGGGCGGCGCAGCCAGATCTCCTCGTGAAGGCTGCCCTTCAAGAAAGTTGTGGAGAAGTCGAGGGAGTCCAGCTTGTTGTCATGTTGTGCTGCAATGAGCAGTAACACCTGAACAGTGGTCATCTTCAAGTGGGGGAGAAGGTCTGGAAGAATTCGACCCCCTATCGCTAACTGAAGCCTCGAGCAACGTAACACGCCTTGAAGGCCGGCAAAAAACCCGGCGGCTGCTTCACTCTGAAAATCTACATGCCATTGACTATGTTTGCCCTAAGGGGGGGAACCTCGTCGACGTAGGTTCCTGTGGACTTCTAGGTTGCCATCTCTGCGTCCATGGCTCGCTACCACTGAGAGGAATACTCACCCGTAATCACCTCTCCGTAAAAGCGCGGGGTGGGGATGTCTAGTGCATCCAGGTCTCCCTCGGGGCAAACCAGCATGGACGCAAAACGGGGTAAAGCGGTCGCGAGACACAAAAGATCAGACTGCGTGTCCTTAAGGACGTCACAACCAAGGGCAAGCTCACCCTCAACAGACAGAGGACAGACAGACTCAGACTCAGTAACAAGACCCGCGACGCAGTCGAGACGATGGGCAGCAGCAAAGTCGACCAGCTCAGTGTCTAGGGCAAACGCAAGTAGAC